TTATTATTATTATTATTATTATTATTTTTAAAGACAGGGAATACTTTATTCAAAACCCATCACAGAAATGGACAGTTTGGGTCTGCAAAAGCAGTCATGTTTTAAAGCATAGGTCAGTAATTGTATATTAGAGCATACACTGCTACATACAAATTAACTGATCAGACCACAACTTTTCAATGTTTAAAACAGAATAAGCTTCCCTGTAAAAGCAGCACCTTTGTGACATTTTTACTTTAGTATTCCTCTCTTTCTTCCTCACCACCTCCTTCAACAGGATCCACACCAACCTCCTTATAATCCTTCTCAAGGGCAGTCATGTCCTCACTGGGTGGTGAGGATGGAGTTGTAGGACTCAACTACAGCTGTGGAAACCTGGGGTGCTGAGTTAATGGAGAACTCCAGCTTGGACTTCTTGCCATCATCAACTGGGAGTTGTTCCATGAGCAGGGAGGTGAACCCAGAAACAATTCCTTCACCAGAGCTGTGGAAAACCAAGAAGCCCTGGAGAACCATGCACTGGTCAGCCAGTTTACAAATTTGGTCCAAAACGAGGTCAGTGATCTCCTGGCCAATGGCATAGTTACTGGCAGCATCTTCCTTGCCTGTGATGAGCTGCTCAGGGTGGGAGAGCTGGTGGCAGGTGCCAGTGCAAACTTCATCATCAATTACCATGGGTTCCAGATCTAGAAACACTGCCCTGGGCACGGGCTTGCCGGAGCCCGTCTCACTGAAGAAGCTGTTGAAGGAGTCATCTCCTCCCCGAGTGGTCTTGTCACTTGGCATCTGGCCGTTGGGCTGGATGCCATGTTCCAGGCAGTAGGCCTCCCAGCAGGCATTGCCAACCTGGACATCAGCCTGGCCAATGTGATGGAGATGCACTCACGCATGATTGCTGCTTCGCGGCTGCTGAGCAGATGGTGGAGACAAGGAGGAGAGGTTGTTGCTTCTTACAGTGCGACTTTTAGGTGGTCGATGTAAGAGAACCTGCCTGTTATTTTCTTTCCTTCTTCTAAGGCAAGAGTGACATTTAAAAAAAAAACCAAAAAAAACTTAACCTTCCTCTTGTCCCTAACAACTGCCACCTCTCACTTACCTCCAGTGCTGGGTAAATATTTAAAAATTATCAGATGGATTGCTTATTCTGTGTGAAGGGATCACTTACCAGGTATGAGAGGCTCCTAATAAAGGTTTCAAATCCACTGGAACGTTTTATGATGATAAAACTAAGAGCTTTTGTTCCACAACACTCTTTTCCTTATCCATGGCCATAGCCTTGAGGCCTGTTACCCTGATAGACTTTCTTGAGTTTTGCTCAAACAGAAAACGAGGTTTTTCTGACATCCGCTAAGGGCATCACTCAAGTGTTCTCTGCTTCTTAGTGTGCACACTGCATTAGAGCTGAATAAAGTTACAAGGCAGCAAAAGAGCAGTTTCTGCTTTGACTTACAAATATTTTTAATGCCCTAAAAATAAACCATGAGCTGCAAACGGGTATGAGTGTTCCCGCACTGTTTCTTAAATTAGTTATTTCTGAGCAGATGAAGAATACATTTTGTTTTGCTGCTCAGGTCCACCTTCTTGTGATTCAATGCATGATTCCATTCAGTATCTTAATGCTATCCCTTTTGTTTGGAGGCAGGCATAGGTCCTCAGAGAAGATGGGAAGATTTGTGTTTTGGGAATGAATTATAAATGAGATTAAAATTTTCATTGCAGAAACCCAAGTTTCTGCAATGTTTCTATTGGGACATGACTTCATTCTCTTCTTCAGATCTTTGAAATTCATGGTTTCACATGTTGTAATGTCTACTTAAATACACAGTTTTCACCTTCATGGAGCTAACAGTCAAGAAATCCAGGGCAACTGCCTTAACTTCAGATGGTTTTAGTTTTGGTTTTGGTTTTGGTTTTGGTATCTGTGAAAAGGGAATGACAATACCTCACTTTACAGAGTTGTCATGTTGTGTCATTCATTCATTCAGTCAGTCATGCACGCATTTAATGAGCACTGTTGCCTGTTGTAAAATGAGTAACATTTTATTACAAATATTATATTTTTTGATGTGGTTAATTTTAACTATTATTTAAAAAATTGTATTATAAGCAATTTTAGATATACACAAAAATTGTTTACAGGACATTACAACCCTCATGTACTCATCACCTAGCATAAAAAATTCCCAGCTCATGGCTAATCTTGTTTAATTTAAACTCCTATTGACCAGGCATGGTGGTTCACGCCTGTATTCCCAGCACTTTGGGAAGCTGAAGTGGGCAGATCAGCTGAGGTCAGGAGTTGAAGACCAGCCTGGCCAACATGGGGATGGGAATTTATTTTATTTTATTTTATTTATTGTGTATTATTTTGACACAGTCTTGCTCTGTCACCCAGGCTGGAGTGCAGTGGCGCGATCTTGGCTCACTGCAACCTCTGCTTCCTGGGTTCAAGCGATTCTCCTGCCTCAGCCTTCTGAGTAGTGGGGATTACAGGCGTCTGCCATCACACCCAGCTAATTTTTGTATTTTTAGTAGAGACAGAGTTTCGCCATGTTGGCCAGGCTGGTCTCAAACTCTTGACCTCACATGATCTGCCCTCCTTGGTCTGCCAAACTGTTGCGATAACAGGCATGAGCCACCATGCCCGGCCTCCTATTTTAAAGCAAATTCCAGACATATTATTTTGTCTGACAATAATTTTTAAGGATTAATGTTTGATCCCATTCAAAGCTTAATGAAACCTTTTTAATCATTTTAAACTGCATTTATAATTTGTTTCATTTCCTTTTAAAAAACTTTGATAACAAAAATGCTTCCAGAATACTAGTAATTCTTACAAATATAATGATTTAAACATATAGACAAGGGTGAACCTTAAGCTCTTTTAAATACATTTAATTCAGTGCTATTTTAAAACAACAAAACTTCAACTTAAAATCACAAATCTAAATTATCCGATTTTTCATTTTAAATTAGAGTCACAAAACTATTTTGTTACTTTAATATGCCAAGTTCTCGTCACATAACAAGTACATTGAAATACAAATTTCATACAAGTTCATCAAGACAAAAAATATTAATACCGGAGGGTTTGAGTCTCTTAAGCATTTCTGTTTTTAACACTAAATCTTTCCAACGTTAAGAGATAATTGTTAAACTATTACTGTGTCATCCCAGACCCCACAGGTGGGTAGCTCCTACCTCATGTGCTGCATTGGTGGATTAAACTCAACTATCTATTTTCTGTTTCATTCTATACTGAATCATTTTCATAATCTTCCTGTTGGGACCTAAATTCTTACAGATGTTTGACAACTTTGTCCACCTCTGAGGTTAGAGTCATAAGGAAAATGTCAATGACAAAAATGTATTCAACAAGGATGAATTAGATGGTTAAATAAACTTGGGGAACGCTGAATTAAACAGACATTTGTTTGTGCATGTGGTTTTAAAACTACAAGACTGTAAGGTACTAATGCAAATATCTAAGAGGGGTATAATGTGCAGCAGTTCCAGATGTATTTGACTATGGACCTATGAACTATTCCCTCCCCATCTTTTTTTTTTTTTGGATGATTCTCCCATGAAACCTAGAACAGAGCCTGGAAATGACCAACCTAGAGGCCAAATCCAGCCTGACACTTCAGTTTCACTTGGCCAGTGTTTTAAAAGTATTTAATCTACACTTTAAAAATTGACAGTTGATGGGCATGGTTGCTCATGCCTATAATCCCAGCCACTTTGGGAGGCCAAGGCGGGTGGATTACTTGAGACCAGGAGTTGCAGACCAGCCTGGGCAACATGGCAAAACCCTGTCTTTACAAAAAATAACAGTCATGGTAGTGTATACCAGTAGTCCCAGCTACTCAGGAGGCTGAGGTGGGAGAAACACCTGAGCAATGGATGTCAAGGCTGCAGTGAGCTGTGATTGCAGCACTGCACTCCAACTTGGGTGACAAAGTGAAATCCTGTATCAAACCAAAAACAAAACAAAATTTGAAAACCACCAAAAAAACATAAACATACAAAAAATTGAGTTACCAGGCATGGTGGGTGGATTGCACCTCTAATCCTAGCTACAGGGAGGCTGAGGCAGAAGGATTTCTTGAGACCAAGAGTTCAAGACCAGCCTGGGCAACATAGTGAGACCCTGCCTCTAAATAAAAAAACAACTGGGAAATAAAAATTTAAGAGAGTTTACCAAAAAATTCTTAATTGCCAGTTTCTTTTCAAGAATTATAAGATCTGGCAAAAGTAAACCTGCATTTTGGCATGGCTGCCCTGGCTAGAGCTGAGCAAGGGCTGCCTTACCACACCAGGCATAGGCACTGCACTTGGTCACTGACAGAACTCCTGCACTGTTCTCCTAGGCGTTTGAGTCTGTGGCGTTGATGGCAAAGGGATCCTCAAGTGCGGTAGAAGTATATATGGGAAGAGCTGACGTAAACCCATCAGACTAGATGGACTGTCCCTGGATGCTGGGTGCGAACTGGATGGGGGTAGACCTGGGCTGAGGTCCTCCCTCTGAGACCAAGTAGGGGAGAGAGATGGTGTCACAGAGCAGAACTACTGTCCTAGAAACCAGCCCACACTGACTGCTTTTCCATTTGCTTTGGAATTTCCCCCACTGCACCGCATGGTAATCTTGACATGTGTGTTGAGAAATAAAGAGCTGAGGTAAAAGCAAAGATGATGCAAATGATTTCAAAATGGTAAAATAAACTTTCAAATGAGATGAATTTGCTAATTATTCTCCCTGAAGGTGCACCTGCCCAAGAAAGATTATAACTGAGGACTGGCTGTCTTGAACCTTGTTGCCACACACAGAGAAAACCCAGCTTTTCTTTCAAGGAAACCAATGCCTGACCTTGCCAACCAATGAAAAGGTTGCCTAAGAGCCTTGCCCAGAAGTTTTATCAGTTAAACTCAGACAGAGAGAACAAAGGTGAGATGGTTTTCATTGATACTATTTTTACAGTGGGTTATAAGTCAAGAAAATGAATTACCAAGTAAGGTCTGTTTTCTTTCATCTTATTTAAAGGATTGCTATATAGCAACAGCAAGCTAATAATTAAGGACCATTTTACCTCCTCCAGAGGCTTTGATCTGCAGTGATGTGACTCCATAATTTGGTCTGGTTGAGTTTCTAAGCTCTCATTAAAGTCCATAAAAATCGGGCAAAATCTAAAGGGCAAAAGGCAAAAGAACAACAAAAAAAAACTTACTTACATCTGAAATTTGGTTTTCAATTAGGTACCTGTGATCACTTCCATTATTTGCTTTGCTTTTAACATGATGAAGCTTGATGTTTTGGACTCTACTAGAAAGTAGTCAAAAATATATACTATTTAGAGCAACCCCACAACCTGTGCTCAGAACTCCTATTTCTAGATTTCTAAGGAAAATCTCTAGGAAAAAAATTATGCAAAATAAGAATGAATTTTTAAATACCCATAGATGCACACACCCAAACAGGATTTATCTTTTCTTTTAGCTTTTTTCCTTCTACTTTTTTATTCCATTAGAATGTGTGAGAATTCAGAGTTTTTTCTCACTGTACTATTTTTTAAATTTCTGAGATTCGCTGGCAATTCAGGTACAATAGAAACAATATGTTTTACTTTATTGGGAGCATAATAGTGTAATGGGAACTTCTAATAATTAGATGTTGGACTTTCTGAATTGATTACCCAGTTTTCATGTCTTCTATATTGCTTATCTTTTCTAGATTTTTCTGTCACAATTCTTCAATTTAATTCTTTAATTTCCAAGACAGCTCTACAGCT